AGAAAATTTGTTCCTCTTGGTTTCTGAGGACAGGACAAGGGGTAATGGGCTTAAAGTGCAGCAGGGGAGGTTTAGATTGGACATTAGGAAAAAATTCCTAACTGTCAGGGTGGTCAAATATTGGAATAAATTGCCAAGGGAGGTGGTGGAATCTCCCTCTCTGGAGATATTTAAGAACAGGTTAGATAGACATCTGTCAGGGATGGTGTAGACGGAGCTTGGTCCTGCCTTGAGGGCGGGGGGCTGGACTCGATGACCTCTCGAGGTCCCTTCCAGTCCTATGATTCTATGATTCTATTGCCGTCTCCTCTGCTTATGCATTCAGAGGCAGCTTCTGCTATGCTGCGTTTTACCGTGATAACAGCCATAATTTGGAAGCTGCTAGCTCTCCATTGCTCTGCCATCTGATTTGGGTTCAGTGCCAGTGGAGAATAGGTCTGTGAGTTTGTTTTCCAGGGTCCACACGAATGATTTTCTGATTCTTCCCTTAGTCATCCCAGGTAAAAATTCCAAAAATACTTTTGTGACTTGGACCCCAAAGTGCCTCTGACTTTCAGTGGAATTTAAGCATCAGTGTGACTTAGGCACTGCTGAAAGTTTTATCTCATGATGACATTCCTCGACTTCTACTATATATTTTAGAGCTTGGGTTCCCAAACTGGGGGTGTGAAAAAACTCCAGGGGGGGCACGAGGTGACTCAGCCCCCCCTCCCCATCAAGTTTTGCTGCTCTGCTCAGTTTTTTTTTTTTTTTCTTCACAAAGTTTTTTTTTGGGGTGTGTGTGAGGGTTTTTCAAAAATAAGAAAAGGGGGCGTGATGCTGAAAAGTTTGGGAACCTCTGTTTTAGAGAGTCTGTCAGTCTGCCTGACTGTTTGTCTGTTTGCTCCAGAACTCCTAAACGGAAACAACTGGGACCACCAAATTTGGTAGGCAGCTTCCTCCTATCTTAAGTTAAAAGCAAGATTGGGTTTGGCTGTGCCAGTAAAATGGGATGTGCCTGGAATGGGATTGGTTCTCTAAAACCCTACAGAAAAGAGACAGAATCACCAGGCATGTGATTAGAAAATAAGACCTAGAATATCTTACTGCCCCTGTATAAAACTATGGTTCGCCCACATCTTGAATACTGTGTACAGATGTGGTCTCCTCACCTTAAAAATATATTTTGGCCTTGGAAAGGGTTCAGAAAAGGGCAGCTAAAATGATTAGGGGTTTGGAATGGGTCCCATATGGAGAGGTTAAAGCGACTGGGACTTTTCAGTTTAGAAAAGAGGAGACTGAGGGGGGATATGATAGAGGGATATAAAATCATGAGTGGTGTGGAGAGGGCGGATAAAGAAAAGTTATTTATTAGTTCCCATAATAGAAGAACTAGAGGACACCAAATGAAATTAATGGGTAGCAAGTTTAAAACTAATAAAAGAAAGTTCTTCTTCACACAGCGTGTAGTCAACCTGTGGAACTCCTTGCCAGAGGAGGCTGTGAAGGCTAGGACTAGAACAGAATTTAAAGAGAAGCTAGATAATTTCATGGAGGTCAGGTCCATAAAAGGCTATTAGCCAGGGGATAAAATGGTGTCCCTGGCCTCTGTTTGTCAGAGGCTGGAGAAGGAGGGCAGGAGACAAATTGCTTGATCATGGTTTCGGTCCGCCCTCTCTGGGGTACCTGGTGCTGGCCACTGTGGGCAGACAGGCTACTGGGCTAGATGGACTTTTGGTCTGACCCAGTACGGCCGTTCTTATGTTCTTATGTTCTTATGTTCAGGTGAAAGGGGCTGGCTGGGGGCACCTCCCCTACCTGGGACTGCCCCAGCTCCAAGCCTGCCACCCCCAGGTTCCCTTTAGGGAGGGCAATGAGGCTGAAGCTCCCCCTCCCCAATTTGTATGGGGACATTGCTAGCTGTTCCCCTTCGTCAGGGAGTGAGGGGAACGTGCCAAGTTTGCTGCATTCCTCCCCCTGGCTGGGGAGCGCAGGGGGCAGACGAACCTCGACCTGCCCCAGCCAGGGACATGCACCCCTCCCCCAGCTCTGCTCACTGGAGCTGCAGTGGCCACAGAAAAGTGCGTCTCAAGTGGCCCTAAGTTGCAATGGTGACAGCAGGCTGGGGCTGTCCTCTCTCCCTGGAGCAGCCTACAGACCGAACCCCTCCTCCCCGGCCCCACCCCAGAGCAATGACTACAATGAAGCCTGGTCATTTTCATTTTATTTTCCAACCCCTCCCCCCCTCCCAAAATTCATTGAGTTAAGCACCCGTGCAACGCTGGGTAAATCTTCTAATACGTGTATGTCATGGTCATGCGGGATGGCCAGCAGCCTGGGGATTAAGGGGTTAACAGTACCTAGCTAGGTAGCAGTCAGCCAATAGAAATGCAGGCAGGAATTTCAAACTGGGACAAAGGAAGTTTTGGTTTTTCCCTCCTTTGTCCCTGGCCAGTTTGCTCCAGATACCGAGGGGGACAGCCAATATGTCCTTCTCCAAGAAAAGACTCTTCACCATCGGTAAGTAGGGCAAATCCCTTTTATTGTTGTATGGTCTGGCAAATGGGAATCTGATGTCCGTGCATTTAGAAATGGGGCTTCCTCTCTTTTGGAACTAAGTTTTGTTCCCATGGGAAAATTCTCCATGAGTTTATTAATTGGTGGCTCTTACCAATCTAACTATGCCTGTAACAGAAGTGTTGTGATACTAAAAGTTCTTTCCTTTTTAAATAACCTGGTATTAATTCAGTTCTGTGTCCTGGGAAATCTGCCTGTGGGATCTGCAGGCCACTGACTAGGGGACAGCAACCACAAACTGCAGTTTGTATTTTCTCTTTTCTTTTTCAAGCTCTTTGGGGGGGG